TTTGCGCTGTTGATGGATGATCGAGAATTCCAGCTGAAAAATTGGCATGTTGCAATAAAATTCCGAAAAAAGCAATTGTTTTTGTCTTATTCACTAATAGATTTCTCTAAAAATCTCTCTCAATTCTATACACATAAATTTCCATCATATATGTTCTTATATAAATATATTTATGAATTTCGCAATTCGAATTGGTTTTCCCATCAATTTTTTTTCATTTCCTTCCACCAGAGGAATGAATATTATAGATATCGTTCTCAAGCGGATGTATTCCTAGTTCCGAGAATCATCTTGAGCGATTTTTGCTTCAGCGAGCGATTTTCAATTACTTTATTGTGTTTGAGTGCATTCCTCCATCTTGCGTGACGTGGAATCTAATTTCGCTTCGTTCCAATTTCTTCCTTCATAATTTCGTTTCCCTTTGTTCATTTCCTCTGAATGGAGGAAATGTGGAAAGGAAGACGCCTTCATTCAGTTCCAAAAAATACTCATCAACGTTTATTGTCGAGGTGATTTCTCATGCAGTAGGAATTCAGTGATCGTATTTGAATCTATTCTTTGACTGAGCAATTTGTCTACAAATGTAAATATTATACAAGCAATAAATGATTCGCTGTTTGAGATTATTCATCGATTTGTTTGAACAACAGTTCTTTCACATATAACAGTTGCAATGTGGAAGATACGATTGAGATTTTGTTTACTTTATGCGGTTTCCGTTAAATGCAAATACGTAATTCGAAGAGCATTAAGCAAAACTGATTCTTCGCTTCTGGATTTTTACATCTGGAGAATATACACCATATTCACATTTGCGTTCAAACTTACTCTCGTAAACTTCTCATTGCGGCATTTCTGTGAGAATTTCCAAATGAAATGTGAAGAATTTCATGCAATTGCTTTATTCAGATGTTCATTATATGCGTGACAACATTGATCGCAGTCATTTGCTATTTGGCTCTCACATATCTCTGTGGTTTTAACCAACTCGAACTGGAACGCTTTCAACGAAGTAATTTTCTGAAATTCTTTTTCTTTGCATTCCAATCTTGAATTTGATACCTCGAAAATGTTAAGATTGATAACGAATAATATAAATGCGGACATGCAGTGGTTTGTTCTAATGTCAAGAGGGTTGAGGGTGAGAGTGGATAAACAGCTCTAGCTCATAAATAACTCTGGTTTTTGAATCGCCGAGGGATATCGCCAACCTCTTATCCTTCAGATCAACATTTTATGTTACCATACCATCTCTCTCCCAACGTCTGAGTCTGTCACTGAGTGTTTGTTGTTATGAGGGAGGGCATTTATCAAGCGCTCAACTCACATCAGTGAGCATTGGTTAGGGATTCTAAATTGTTGAGAAGGGAGACCATATTTATGTCTTGATTTCTACATTACGTTCGGATTCGCAGAACGTAGGGTATCGGTCATTCGCGAAGTTGCGGAAGACGCAACAGATGCAGATCATCCCAGTTCACGGGTATCAGTTGGTGTGTGTCATGTCAAACGAGCCGAAAAGAAGAGTAACGGTGAGTGGACACTGGATCCGACAAGGATTTACCGCAAGTTTTTGGTCAGTTTCAGCTTGATTCGATATCGTTCAGTGCTGCCTTCATTAAGTTATGCGTTTTATAAGGATTTCATTGCGATATGTGCAGTTGATGAATTGTTTCCTTATAGAATACGTTTAAGATTTGGAATTTCCTGTTACTCTCCATTTCTCTACATTAGAAATTGTCATCTCGGATATAGGATATGGGAGGTATGACTTGATAATTTGCTGCTTCTTTAAGAAACCAGGACGACATTCGCCTCCGAATGAATCTTCTTCAGAATTATATCCAGGTCAACGACCGCCTCTAAGACGTCGACACTCAGCCACTGGACCGCTGCAGTTCGCTCGTGCTGCCAAGGAGTGAGTGAGCTGATTTTTCATGAGCGCAGAACCTTCAAAGCATATGTAATTAGCATCATTTATCGACAGATCCAGTTAGATGGATCAGTAATCTGGTCTTTTAGATTTGTTACAAGACAGTTCTAAGTGATATTCTCGAGCCTTGCACTTGAGCACATTCCAAGCATTCGAGTTATTTTCGCTGCATTATTGAACTGTCATCTTCCTGATTTGCTCCCAAAACGGATATAATTTGATGTCATGAGGGGTTGTTTGCAGTTTCATTGTTCGCGGTCGTAACGCTCGTTTCAAGCGGCAGTTCTCGGACATCAGTCGAAGCAGTCTGCCGAGACCTCCAACTGAATTCTTCGAGCCGTCTGATACACCCGAGGTGCCTGATCATCTCAAACCAGAGATCTTTTATATTCTTCAATGCCTCAAGTAAGAATATCCGTTCCGTTTCATCCATCTCTAGTGTCTATTCAATGCAATCCATACATACACAACCGCGCTTTGTATATGCCTTTGTGTGCAGCTGATAACTTTGTCATCGAAATCGTGTTGCAGGATGTTGGAATTGCCAACCGATTGGACACTAGACCCTCGGGATATAAATGCAGAGAAATATTTAGCGGGTGATTATATCATAAGACCCGGTGATGTGGACGATAGCATTGTTGCGGTACTTGATGGCTCAGTTGTAGTGTACATCAATGTGAGTTGCTCAATGGTCATTTTGATAATTTGATTGTGTTGCTGTCTGACTTTTGATGAAACAATCAACAAAATCGCTTGTGAAATTTTATCATTGAAAAGATTATTTTTGATTACCGTTACACCCGACTTTAATTTTAAAAAATCACAAACAGAACTTAAGTGCATGTGTGTATATTATATTTTATTGCCAAAATGAGCTAATTTCTTTACTTATCTTCAGTTTTCTGTTCTTATCAATCAGAAATCACTAACTGCTTCTATTTTTATTTCATTCATTCATTCAGCACGGCGATGGAAAAGATCTGAAAGAGTATAAAGTGCGTCTTATTGAAAAGGGCGATTGTTTTTTCAGTCTTCTTTCAATGCTCGAAATTTTATTGGTCAGTGAATCGCTTTTGTTGTTGTTGATGTAATGCGCAATTGTATACGCTTTTTTTTNTTTTTTTTATTGCTCCATCATATTTTATCGTTTGCAATTTAATCAGCAAAATTGCCGGATTCAATGAAATCCGATAAGAATTGTTCAGATGAGAGTACATTTTTCAGGATCATGAAAATAAGTTTCGGAATGTATGTGTACGCGCCGGAACAGATTGTCGTCTAGCAAGGTGAATTTTGCTTCGAATTGTTATTCTATTTGAACTGAAAGGTATTGTTGTTAGTTTTTGCGATGGCTTCGTGTGATCTATAAGGGAAATCGCATGCTTCCGATTTCGTTGCATTCAATCTCAAAAAGTTGAACGAATGCTAAACCTCCCTCGATTTCTGCCAACTGGATTTTTGTTTTTGAGATGTTTGAATTGAAGATTATTTTGTTAATTAAGTAAAAACGGCTATTTAGGGTTTTTTTAGTAATGAATTTTGTTCAAAGCCAGCAACAAACCAACGAGATTTTCAGCAGCGCGTGTTATTATCTCGTCTGTCATTCATTCACCCATTCATCCATCCATCATGCCTATCACTAATTCTAGGTATAAAATTCGCAATTTTCGTGACTCATATAAGAAAAATGCAAAAATTTGGACACGACCAATTCAGATTGCTATCACACGATTGCTACACGTCACACTCACAACGCTTCATCAATATTTCGGTTTAAGTGATGAGCTTTTCAAAAAGGTTATTTCATTTCGATGTTATCTTTAAAGAACATTGATCACATCCTCGTTTAATGTCAATAATTCTCTAATATTACATGTAGTGGAGTAGAGCGTTAAAAGCGGTAATGCATCCGTAGTGCTTCTAGCTTGTGACGGTAACGTTGATCATTAATGGGACTGTTGTTGTNTGTTATTGGTATTACTTTCTGTTTTTATTGCTCTTATCATTAGTAGTAATATTTTGTGTTATCGATGGTGTCATCCTGATTTCAGCGTGTCGATGATAAGCGCAGTGGTGAGGAGCGGGCACGGCAGCCATCCGGTAATATAGGTTCGATCCGCCGCAAACAAAGACCTCGCCAAAGACAGAGCAGCTGTGAAGGTTGAAGATAGCAATAAGCAAATTGATTTTTTCACTTAGAAGTGATCCATAATGAATGTAGTGATTGTTGAAATGAAACATTTGCAATTGTGAAATGTGTTCAGAATGGAACGATCAACATCAAATCGCACGTAAATGGATGACCGAAGTACTGAAAGTGGAAGGGGATAAAGAGGCGATCAAGATTATAAATGAACGAACAACGATAATGAGTATTCCTGAGAATCATATTGTTTCTGAGCAAAACACCGATGAAGAACGTCTAATTTTGGTCATAAGTGGTACACTTGTTTTGTCGCAGGTAGGTGGTACTTCAATATTTCAGTATACATTATATAGGTCGTAAATAATATCAAGTATGGTTGTAACTTAAGGAAACAGTATTCGAAGATGAAGAAGCAAGTGACGATGAATGGCATTCAATGATATATCCTCGTGAGTTGGTCGGTGGTTTGCAGCTCTTAACAAGTGAACCATCGTTTCATACGATTCGATCGCATACACCGGCTACGATCGCAGTGCTGACAAAAGATGATTTCGCTGAGTTAGTTCTCATCGAAATTACCCATTTCAAGTGATTACCCAAAGTACCCAAAATTTTCAAACGATCATTCGTGGAATTTCTTTCGTTTTGGTCAATGAAGGCGTTATTGCAGAGCAATTTATGGAAACTGGCATACGTTTTTAGCTGAATGAATGACTGGAAGATACTTGAATTAAGTGAAATTGATTTGATGGTTGCGTTTCAGACTTCTTGAAGTGCATCCTGAGGTGATCCTGCCAGTAGCCGAATCAGTGGTTCGTCGTCTGAGTCCATTCTTAAGAAGTGTTGATTTTGCTATTGATTGGGTGCTTCTTGACTCGGGTCAAGCTGTCTATAGGTGCGTTTTCCTTTACGTTTACTCACGACCAGCAACCGTGTCGATGGTGCTAGTTGGTGTTTGGCTGGAAATTTTATTGGTTTGTTCATTCTGTTCGTGTGAGTGAAAGAAGTTTTCTGCATCAAGCTTTATCCTATCTTTCGAACTTCTGATTTCCTTCAAAATCTGTAACGCTCGAAGCTCTATGGTAAGCTTCTCGCATTTCTTAATTCCTAACAGATGAATCTATTTTTCGATATCTGTTAACGCTAGCAACCTTCTCATTGCTTATGTTCGTGCGATTTCATTCGATTACTTTGAAAGGATTTAATGATTGCAACATTATGGAAGATGTTTTTCAGGAGCGGTGATGCATCGGACTCGTTGTTTGTGGTTTTGAGTGGTCGTTTGAGATCAGTGGAAAAGAAGATGGTAGTTGAAGAGTTCGGTAGAGGTGATATGATCGGTATGGTTGAGGTTAATTTTATACTATCTGATATTTTTCGTCTCAAATGTTAGTATATCAGACTAGTATGTATTGGATTGTTTCCTTACTGCAAATTTCAGGTTATTTGCTGCATTCATGAATGAAAATGTCTTTTTCCTTTTCTTGACGAAAACTTTTGTGTGAATAGAAATTTCGGCAGATTGGATATTGAACTGAAATGTTTGTCAACTAACAGGTATTGCAACGTGTACCTCGTGCAACCACTGTGCTGGCGATTCGATTCTCACAGTTGGCACGTATCCCTGAAGGACTTCTCAATTACATCAAAATGAAGTTCCCGCAGGTTGTTTCTGACTTCGTTTATTCATTTCAGCAATCCCTCAATGAACATGAATTTCGATATAACCTCAACAAAATACATAAAACACCACCTAATTGTCGTTTATAATTCTGTTCAAAGGTTGGAGTTCGTTTGGTTCAGACCAGTATGTGTTCGATTTTTGAAGCATGATGAGTCTCAAAATCTCTTCAATTTTGAAACATGATGATTTTCATTTCATTTGTTTTAATGAATGAAAATTTAAAGGTTGGATTTCGTTTGGTTCACTTGTTGGGTCACTACTACAGTTCAACGCATCGTCGTTCGTTGGCTGTCAACAACGCCTTCACTGACCATCTGTCAGGTCCAATCGGAGATCCTCGCAGTCATATAAAGGTGAATTCATATCAACCCAGTCCAGTTTCAAGACTACGATTCGTACCTTTCAGAATGCTTGCAAATCATTCATACGTACGCATCAATAAACTTATGCTAAAAATCAACTGAGGACTTTCGCTTTCACTCCGACGAGACAGCTGTTGAGTTCGCATCTAAATTTCAGAATCTACACACAGTGGCCGTGATTGCGGCGTCTGTAGACGTGCCTGTAGTGCCGTTTACGTGCGAACTCTACAATGCACTCAACGTCAACATTCGTGTTCTGCGTTTAAGCAGTAAAAAGGTGGCCGAACATCTCGACCCAAGCGTTCTTGAAAAGTAAGTGCACGATGTCGGTTTCATTGCATTCAGTTCATTTTCTTATCTTATTCCGGAAACACAGAGCACAACAAACGGTGTAATAAAATTGATCATCTTAACTGTAACGTGTCGAATTTCAACGAAATCAGCGATAGTTCCAATGAGGTAAGAAAATGCTTCGGAAGATCCATGAAATTGTAATTAACAACGGAGGATCACTGTTCGAAAAAATTCTTCTCTAATCCCGAAAACCAACCAAGAATCAGTCGAGTCCGAAAGCTGGCAAATGTGACTGATTCGAAAAGAGAATCTTGTTTGGAGTCATCTGAGTGAAAGAATGAATGGCTGACGTTTTTTCGTTGCTTTCATCCGACATTTTTGATGCTGGTGTGGAAGTGTTTGCAAATATAATTCGTTTGATTAAGCAGTTATTTCATCTAGTTAATTAATAACCTATTGCATCTAGTTAATTAATAACCTATTGCATCTAGTTAATCAGCCAGCGTTCGGCACTTATGCAGTAACATTTTGAATTGCGTGAAATGAATTCGATTTGAGTTTTGCTGTTGAATTGTCGTTGTTGTTGTTATAGGTTGCAATCTATGGAACCATCTAATGGGTAATTGTTTTTGCATTGTTGCTATTATTATTGTTGTTTAACAGCGTTGTATAGCTATCCTTATTTGAGATCTCAATAGAGTTGTGTTTCATTTATTCATTCAGCTTCTTCCAGGCTTTCGCTAACCATATAATTTTTCTTCCACTTCTTGAAAATCGCGTTGTCGTCTTTAGTGCTTATTGCTGTTAGTGAGATTCTCATTTCATATGATTGATTGATTCGTTGTTTTGTGATTGACGGCATGAAGCATGCACGATATCGAATCTGATGCATCGAATTCATCAATAGATAGATATTCCTTTATTATCTCTATTCATTTATGTTGTTTGTCTTTGTATGGTATCGAGTAGGATAGAGTTTGGAAGCATAATATTGTGATTTATGCGTATGGAATGTGTTTTGAAAATGATTTGTAAATAAAAGATTCTTCTCATATCTACCACCTATCTGTATGCTTTGTGTCTTATAAATTCTTGATTTTATCAAAATAAATGAAATGAGAATCATCATTTTTCAAAATTGAGGAGATTTTGATGTATATTTTGTCGCCTTTTAGACAAGCTGATTTCCGTTTGATGCATTGGTTGAACGTACAAGAGGATACGTTCCCGCTGGTGATCTATGAATGTGACAGTATGGCTACGAATTGGACACGGAGATGCTTGAGACAGGCTGATGCAATCCTGTTGGTTGCGAATGGACATCAGAAGCCAATCAAACAATCTTTCGTCAGTTTCTTTCCTTAGCTGAATCAGTCCATTCAACTTTCAAATACTTGACCGTGGATATGTCATGAATCTTTTGTTTAGCGTTTTCAGATCAAATGAAATCAGGAAAAAGGAAATATTTTTGAAGTCTTTTGTTATTCGATGACTTTTGTTGTTTGTCAAATGAAATTCAACCGATTCTTCATGTATGCAATATGTTCAGAATTTGTGCATCTATTCAAAACAGCGCAATGAAGTTGATGAAGCGGATTGACTGATCAGAAAATTTCTATAATTTAGTGCAGGACTGTAGGATTTGATGCTAATTTTGGAATGTTCAGATGGAAGAGTTTTTGAGTATCAATCCGGATTGGGTTCGTACAAATAAAGAGCTGATTTTGTTGTGGGACGAAGAAACGATCGCGCCACAAGGAACCATCGAGTGGTTGAAAGGCAGTTGGTTCTCAGGACATCATCATATCAGATGTCCAAAACGAATGAAACAATGGAATCCGTCCACGGTTGGTATCGTTGTTGACTATATTGGCCAATTGTGATAACTATGAACTCCGAATGAGGTGTTCCATTGATTGCTATCAGTATCGATGATCGATCGATTGCACATTCAGGTGACTGAGAGTGAAGTGATCTCGTATTATGAGGAGAATGTTTTCTGGGATAAAGTCGACAATAATTCTGATTTTGCACGTCTCGCGCGTATCCTGACCGGGAATGCTGTTGGTGTAGTGTTGGGCGGTGGGGGAGCAAGGTGATTATTTGTTTTTGATCGTTTCTTTCTTCCTAATGCTAGCATTCTCTCAAAGAAGATTGAGTGTTCGCTTCGTAATAGTTTGGAAAACTGACTGCGTTTGATGACTTATTTGGTGATTTCCGATCGAATTCAAGTTTCTGCCAAACTTTCGATTTCTCTTCACCCTTCGGAGTTGGGGATTGCAAAAATGAATTTCGTCGGATCCGCAGCGAATGGGATTTCTGTTTGGTTACCAGCATTTTGATACTTATGTGTGTATTTGTTCGTGAAGAGGTGCATCACACGTTGGTGTTCTACGAGCGATTCGGGAACATGGTATTCCGATCGATTTCATTGGGGGAACTTCGATGGGAGCTCTTATCGGAGGGTTGTACGCTGAATCTGATGTGGATGTTGAACAACGTGCCAAAGAGTGGTTCATGGTGAATTATATTTAGTTTTCGAATAGCATTTTCGCTTGTTTATTTGATTGGCAACGTGTTGACGTGAAACGATTGAAATTCAACTTTTCGAATTGATTTAATTCTTTTACCAGTTCGATTGAAGTGAGAGAACAATTCAAAAAGCACTTTTATCAGTGTTCCGTCGTATGTATAACCAATTTTTATTGCTCTTCACTTAAGTTGATGACCTCATTGTGGCCAAAAATATGGGATTTAACCTATGCATATTCGGCGATGTTCACGGGTGCGGGTTTCAACAAAACGATCCAAGCGGCCTTCTCAGATATCACCATTGAAGATCTGTGGTTGTCCTATTTCTGTGTCACCACCGATATAAGGTACGTACCGTCCCATCGCTCATTCACTACACCTTATTGCTTTATTTTTCATTCCATTTGACTGTACGAGTTTCAGGATATTCGGCAACTTTGGCAACGTTCAGTTAACATTATTTAAGTGATTAACTGATGAGGTTGTTCTGGTCATGCCGCTTCTATTTATGTACTTTTAATAGATGTCTGTCTTTCTTAAATTCGTTAAATATCATCCACCTAAACAAAATAACAACCAGTCCATTCAAACGAATGCATCTGTATAACAGATAACAATAATGATAACTTATGTACGTACCTATGTCTGTTGATTCGTACGACTAATTCGAATAATAGAATTTTGAAGTGAATATTCGAACTAATTTTGTTGATATTAAGCAAATATGTTATATTTGTTAGCTGGACAAAGTGAACTATTTGTTTGTCGTGCGATTTTTGTTCTCCAGTTGTTGCTGGTTTTCCTTTCATTTCTGTTGTGGTGTTATCGTGGAAACGATGTAGTCGTACATGAAGCTGGAAGGCAAGAGTTGAAGCGATCGTCATTCGAACTGAGGAACTTCGCTCATGGCAGTTTGGCGTGAAACTGAAAGTGTTTAAAGTTGATTCATCTACTTTCAGTGATTCGGAGATGCGAGTGCATCGTAATGGTCCCTTATGGGCGTATTGTCGTGCCTCGATGTCACTTGCGGGCTATTTACCTCCGTTATGTGATCCTGTCGATGGACATTTATTACTGGATGGCGGTTATGTGAACAATCTACCTGCTGATGTTATGAGGTTACTCTTTGCACTTTGATATTGGTCGTGTGATATACGAACAACGGAAAACCATGAAAAGCTTCAAGAGTACGCTCGTAATTCAACGATTCTAGCGATTCGAAGAAAAATCATTCGATATCAACGTTTCAGATTCATCAGAATTATGTTTAGTTGATCACAACTTCCTGAACAGTTGATTGAAATGAAATGTTCAGATCGATGGGTGCCAAAGTTGTGATCGCAGTTGATGTGGGTGCGAGATCAGAGGATAACTTAACAAATTATGGTGATTCCCTGAACGGATTTTGGGTTCTTTTCAACAAGTTGAATCCATTCAGCAAGCCTGTCAAAGTGCTGAATATGGAAGAAATTCAGGTTTTTCAAGCATTCAGCATTTCATTACAGTAGAAATTGTCAAGTTTTATCGCTGCAACTGGCGTTTCTTTTCATTTGATTCCACATTCTCTCATCATCACTTCAAACTGACGTGTTTTTAAGGGTCGCCTTGCATATGTGTCGTGCGTTCGGCAACTCGAACAAGTCAAAAAGGCACCGTATTGTCATTATTTAAGACCACCAATCGCTCAGTACGAAACACTTGATTTTGCGAAATTTGATGCAATAGAAGTGAGGATTTTGAAATTTATTGTTATATTCACTCGTTGTCTGACTTTTTAAATATGTTGCACGATTAATTCATAAATTTTGGCTGATTGTTGGATGTTGAGCGGATGTTTTAGGAGGTTGGTTACAATTACGGAATGGAAACAATCTCGGATTTGGTCAAAGGAAGTGGTCTGCTGAAGAATATCATTGGACCTGAGGTGTTACGCTCGCTGAGACTGCGACAAGGACGTCATGAATTGGCCAAGCGGAGTGTCTACGATCGCTCGTTGGCATCGTCGTTCACCAATTTGGCCGCTCGCGTCTCGAAAATACCAAAAGCGGTCCCTAGCAAAGAAAGTAGCTCGATTAGTGGTCATTCATCTGAGGATGAACTGAGTGAAGGTTGGTTGTCACCTAGCAGACATTAACCCCCAAATAACAGAGTGACTGGTCATGAATGATCACTGCTGATTGAACATTAGGGATTGTTTGGGCTTGCAGATGATCTAGACGGGTACGTTAGTGAGCCGTGTTCAAATAGTTATCAGTTGCGACGTTCGTCACGTCTGATGTACATCGGTGATGATGACCTCGAGCAGACCAGTGAAGAGGAGCACAGTGGAGGAGCGATCACGCCGCAACGATCGTATTCTTTGTCGAAATCCGAACAGTGCGAGCAATTCATCGAATGCAAACAGTCCAAAATTCGCATCAGATCGGCCATGTCAATACCGGCAAGTGTCAAAATGACTGCATCACTGACACGACGACAGACGTGTGTTGCTGAAATGCTGATCACGAAAGGCGCCGCTTCTGTGGAACAATCGAGCGCGAAAAGAAAGTTGGCCGCAGCGATGTCTCATGCGCGGAAACGTCATCGAACGATGACCGATGTTACGGATGAGTTGTTCCGATTCAACGATATACTCCGTGAACTGGGCGCCTCTACACATGCTGATGATAAACTATATGTGGAACGTCCCGAAAAAAATGCACTGGTGACGAAGTCATCTGATGCTGTTGTTTGTGATAGAGGTGAGTAGTAGGCGTTTGAGCGAATGGGCAATTTTATCATCGTTATGATGTGTATTCATGTTGCATGTGCACTCACTCTTGTGTTTTGCATGTTTTTATTTGTTATGTATGGTGACTGCAACATGCATGCTTTTGATAGATTTTGAGCTTTTATTTCTCTATAATTGCTGGTTGGATTTAC